CCACATCCACGTTCACTGCAGCAGTATGTACAACAGCCTAGGCATGAAAGCAACCTGAGTGCCCGATCAACGGACGAATGGACGAAAAATGTGGTGTGGTTTATACATTCACATACAATGGAATATTATTCAGCCAAAAATAGACGGAAATCTTGCCATTTTCAACAACATGGACGGACCTTGAGAACACCATGCTAAGTAAAACAAGTCAGAGAAAGAAAGATACTGCATGATCTCACTTATATGTGGAATCTAACCCTCCCCCCTAAAATAAATTCACAGATACAGAGAACAGACTTGTGACTGTCAGAGGCTGGGGATAGCGAACGTGTGAAATGGATGAAGATGGTCAAAATGTACAGTCTTCCAGTTATAAAATAAGTTAATAATGATGTAATGAACGGTGAGTATAATTAATACTGTACTGTATAGTTGAAAGTTGCTGAGAATAGATCTTAAAATTTCCCATCACAAGAAAAAATTGTAACTATGTACAGTGATGGATATTAGACATATTGATCATTGTGCAACATATACAAATACTAAATCACTATGTTGTATACCTGAAACTAATATGTCATATGTCAATTACATTTCAATTTTTAAAAATTCACATATCTATAAACTCATATTTTGAATAGAATTGGTGACTGCAATTCACAGAATGAAATATTGTTGGCAAACAGATAACAGAAAAGCCAAATGTGTTTCGTTAATTTCATCCAAAGATGGTGAGGGTTAGGGTGAGTATTTCCAGAACTGATAGATACCGAGGAAAGGGCAGTGTGGAGAAAAAGAAGGGTTCGGCACAGAGCTGAGGCAAACACCAGCATGTTGGTAAATTACCTGGGATGAATTAGTGAGCTGGTTTCCACCTGAAAAATTAGTGCTCAATCACATTGAGAAGCTACAGGTTGCCATGTGGAATATGCCCAAATGCTAGAAAGGGGGAATTCTGCAGCAAATAGTGATGTTTCTCTGTTTCACTACAACCATAGAAGGAAAAATACTAGGCTGAGTATATGTCCAGTATTGTGGACAAGCCCAATTACCCATCCTCTTTCCTGGATTGTGTAGACCCAAAACTAAAACGGAGTCACTTATACGACGGACAAAATGAAGTTGGCCAACACAGCTGCATTAAAGAAAACCAAACTTAACCTTACCTGACGCAGCTGCAGGAGTTTACAGTTCTTCAAAATCAGCAGAGGATACCAGCCGATTCTCAAACTTCAAGTTTGTTCACACCATCTCTGGATTTCCTTCTTCCTGACTCAGCTACCCTGATCTAAATACGAAAGACCAATCAGATGAAAAAGTCAAATAATTCCCCCATTAACCCCATAAAAATCCCTCAGTCTGTGAGCAACTGAGAACTCAATGCTCCAGTATCCTTGAGATTCCCTCCTTGCAGGCTGAAACCGTTGCAAAAAAACTCACCTTTCATTCTAAGTGAAGTAAGCCAGAAAGAGAAAGAAAAATACCATGAGATCGCTCATATGTGGAATCTAAAAAACAAAAA